AGCTTGTCATGTGTTTCCTTGGAACGAGCTTTGTACACACTAGCACAATCATAAGCATCAAGCCGAAGCTCCTCTAGCTCATGAAGATCTAACCACCTTTTCTCCCTCGCACTTGCTAGGTCAAAGTTTATCTTCTTTATTGCCTACAAAGCACGGTGTTCAATTTCAACCGGAAGATGGCATGATTTGCCATAGACTAGGTGATATGTAGTGGTACCTATGGGCGTCTTGAAAGCCGTTCGATAGGCTCAAAGAGCATCATCCAACTTTTCTGACCAATCTGTTCGATTTCTCGCAAACGTCTTTTCAAGGATTAGCTTGATTTGACGATTGGAGACTTCCACTTGGCCGCTTGATTAGGGATGATATGGGAGGCTAAATCACTGATGGACTCCATGCTTCCTCAACATCTTTTGAAAGGCATGGTGAATAAAATGAGAACCATTTTCGCTTATCACCGCCTTTTGGTACTCCAAATCTTGGAAAGATTATCTTCTTAAACAACTTCATAACCACCTTGTGGTCATTAGTTAGGGAGGCGATGGCCTCAACCCACTTAGACACATAATCAACCGCCACAAGGACATATTGATTTCTGAAAGATGAGGGAAATGGCCCCATAAAATCAATACCCCATACATCAAACACTTCCAACTCGAGTATTGGTTGTTGAGGCATTTCATTTCTCTTGGAGATGTTCCCAACTATTTGACATCGATCACATGTCTTTACAAATCCCCATGAGTCCTTGAAGAGATGTGGCCACCATAACCCGATTTGAAGGACCTTAGTGGCGGTCTTAGAGACACCCATATGGCCACCGCTCGGATCCGAGTGGCACATTTTCAAAACACTAGGCACCTCTTCGTTTGGCACACAACTTCTAAGTAAGCAATCGACCCCTCGCTTGTATAAGATGGGATCATCCCACACATAATGCCTTGCCTCTCTCTTAAGCTTCTTTCTTTGGTTCTTAGAGAAGGAAGGAGGAAACTCTCCACATGCAGGAAAGTTCACTAAATCGACAAACTATGGGCGCTCCTTTGCTTCAATAGCATACAATAAGTCATTAAGCATCCTATCTTTAATTGGAGAACCATCATCATGAATGTGAGAATCTTCTAGACGAGACAGATGGTCCGCCACCACATTTTCCGCTCCTCTCTTATCCCTAATCTCAATGTTAAAGGTTTAGAGTTCAAGAACCCACCGGATCAACCTTGGCTTGGACTCTTTCTTGGCAAAAAGATACTTGAGAGATGCATGGTCCGTGAAGACAATGGTCTTGGAACCTAATAGATAACAACGGAACTTCTCAAAAGCATGAACTATAGCCAAGAATTCCTTCTCCGTTGTAGTGTAATTCCGTTGAGCTCCATTTAGAGTCTTGGACATATAATAAATCACATGAAGTTTCTTGTCCACTCTTTGACCCCAGACACTTCCTATTGCCGAATCACTTGCATCACACATCAACTCAAATGGTAAATCCCATCTTGGAGCTTGAACAATATGAGTAGAGATTAGAGCTTTCTTCAACTTATTGAATGCCTCCTGTAGGGAATAGTTTCAAGCCTTTAAAAATCCCACTAACTTGAACCCCACTGTGATCATACACTAAAGTACGGTGGCGTCCAAAAGGGAAGAAGATAGAGCTAAAGAGTCGCCAACAAGTTTTTAAGGAACTTGTAAACCGTTCATAGGATGAAGGTTACACCCCTTAACGATCCAAGAGATCGTCAACTCCATAAGGTCATGAACCAAATAAGGGTTCGGGGATGATGGTACAAATCCAACCTAAAAGAGATTGAACCTGCCCTAATAATGGGCCTCTACTTTGTTCTGATCGTATTCATGTGCGCTTTTTAATTAACATGCAATCAATAGGATTAACCCTAAACCTGTTTAATCTATGTTAGTTGAATTTTAATGCACAAATAAACTATCATTGGCGATCACTTGAATTATAATCACAATTAACCTAACAAGATTATTAAATATCTTATTAAGCGTGGTTGCAAGTACCAATTCCCTTTAAACATGCATAAAAGGTGATCAAGCAATAACAAATAAAATAATATGCATATCAAGCAACATAATAAATAATCATAATAAATATCATGAATAAAATTACAATCATAAATAAAATAATCATCATCAAAATAATAATAATCATAATCATAATCATATTCATGTTAATATTAAAGCATAATAAAAATAGCAAGATCCTAGGCATGATACTAACAAGATTAATAACAAACCCTAGCATGTCACTAAGCAATAAAAATCAAATCTTTAGCCCTAACATGATACTAACAATCATAAATATTAGGAAGAATATAGGAAGCATCGTACTTTTAATCATACTTGATATTAAAGTTACCCTAGACATGATACTAGGAATCAAAATAACAATCTAAGCATGATATCTACATCATAATATCAATTAATCAATTAAAGCACTTACTTGGATGCCTCGTACCTCTTTCTAATTACAAAATACACACGTTAGTAACTTCAAGGAAAATAATAAATCAAAACAATTAAATTAAATAATTGAAAGAAAGATTTGGGACCAAACCCTCATAAATTAAAACCTTTCACGTCTAGGGCGAAGGCAACTTCGAATATGGCTAGGTGTATCAAGATCTTATGAATGCGGAATTTTGTATGAAAAAAAAACAAAGTTTAGAAAAGAAAGAATGAATGTTAATGAAAGTTGATGGAAAGAGATGAATGAATTCAAAGAATTTGATGAATGATTGAGAGTTGATGAAGACTTAAGAATAAAGAGAATTGGTGAATGATAGATGTAGATGATGAATGAAAACGGAGTTTTTGATACGATATTTATAGAGAAAATCATCCAAAAATGATAATTTATCAAAACAGAGTCTGAAGACCACAAAACCACCTTGGCGTCAGCACTGGCTCATTGGCGCCAGGACCAGTGGCTAGCGCCAGACGCCAATAGCTGGCGTCTGGCGCCAATCCTGATTCCAGGTGCCAAGGCCTGGGGTTGGACGCCAAATTGGATTTCAACGCGTTTTCGAAAATCCGATAAATTTCCCGTACTGGAAGATAAAATAATATAATTTCAGTCGAAAATGCTATTTGATCTTGATTAAAACTCTGAAGAATCCTAATTGAATTAAGAATGAAAAGAACCTTCTAGAATGTTCTAGAAGACTAAAACCATTCCTAATTTCATTAGGAATGATAAATCATATTAGGCTCTCCCCTAGATCATTGGGCCGTACTTAAAGCTCAAACCAGGCCCAGCTTAGTAAATTGGCCATAAATTCCTCAATATTCATCGGAATTGGGCTTATAATATGTCGTTGGAAAGGTCTTTGCAAGCCCCATCTAACTACACCACTATTGGACCCCATAACATGGACCAACCAAACTGGATTGGTTGTTTTCTTAAAATAAAGTTTTCAAAAACAGAGAGAAAAGAAAAGAAATAAAACTTTCCGCAACACTAGACCTTTCCACACTTTCGTTTCATTCGATTATGATTCGACGTGAAAGACACTCATCACTGGGTTTGGTTTTGGGGAGACACAAATGGGTGTCTACACCTCCAAACACTTATCATCAAATACAAACTTAGCATCTTTTTGAAGAAGAAAATTGAGGGGATTTGCAATGCACGAGAAATCCTTGATGAATCTTCTATAAAACCTGGCATGCCCTAAGAAAGATCTCACTCCCTTTACATTCACCGGAGGTGGAAGCTTTTCAATGACCTCAATTTTAGCTTTATCCATCTCTATCCCCATGTGAGAGATCTTTTAGCCAAGGACTATGCCTTCTTCCACCATGAAGTGACACTTCACCCAATTTAAAACAAGATTCATCTTCACACAACGAGCTAAACATCTCTCTAGGTTGTCAAGACATGCCTTAAATGAAACGCCTCCTACGGAGCAGTCATCCATAAACACCTCCATCCCCTCTTCCAACATATCTCCAAATATACTCATCATGCATCTTTGAAATGTTGCGGGAGCATTGCAAAGGCCGAACGAAATTATCCTATAGGCAAATGTACCATATGGACAAGTTAAGGTTGTTTTCTCTTGGTCATCCGAGTGGATAGGGATTTGGAAAAATCCCGAATAACCATCGAGTTAACAATAGAACTTGTGCCTAGTTAGTTTCTCAAGCATTTGATCAATAAAGGGGAGGGGGAAGTGATCCTTCTTGATGGATGTATATAGACGTATATAGTTTATACACATCCTCCATCCCGTGACCGTCCTCATCGGAATGAGCTCACCTTTCTCATTCTCAACGACGGTCATACCTCCCTTCTATGGGACAACGTGAACGGGAGAGACCCACCTATAACTAGAAATGGGGAATATAAGTCCCGCATCCAAAAGTTTGGTGATCTCTTTCTTCACTACCTCTCCCATTTGGGGATGTAGTTTCCGTTGCCTCTCAATAGAAGGAGGGCACCCTCCTCAAGGGTTATGTGGTGTGAACATAAAGCGGGGATTATACCTTTGAGATCATCAATGGTATAACCCAAAGCACTTTGGTGCTTCCTTAAAACACCACACAACTTTTGAGCTTGGTGCTCACTCAAAGAAGAGCTAACAATCACGGGAAAAGTGGAGTTGGGTCCCAATAATTCATACCTAAGGTGTGATGGGAGAGGTTTGAGCTCAACCATTGGTACACCTTTACCTTCCTTTGAAGTGGCAGCTTGCAAAGCCTCTTGGCTTGAGATATTCATGCACATATGCTCATCCACTTCCTCGATGCTTCCATTTAGCAAATCCTCATACATTGTCATTTCCTTGATAGGAGCACATATATTATCCTTATTCAACAAGACATTCTTAAGAGGATCATTAGAAGTTAGCAAGTGCTCATGCATAGAAGACACAACATGATCAAGAGAATCAATCATCATGCAATTTTCTAAAGAAGAACATGGATATTTCATGCTTTCATTCAAGTCAAATTCAATGACCTCATCTCCTACCTTAAATGAAACTTTTGCATGCACTCTTAACATCAATCATGGCACCCGAGGTAGAAAGAAAAGGTCTACCAAGAATAATAGGAATGGTAGCATCTTCATCCATTTCAAGAACTACAAAATCCACCATAGTCACAAATTTCCCTACTCTCAAAGGAACATCCTCCACCTTACCATTTGGAAATTTGATTGACCTATCGCCTAAATACAAGGTAATGTTGGAAGGCAAAAGTTCCCCTAACTCAAGTCTTTAATAGACCGAATATGGCATTAGGCTAAAACTAGCTCCTAAGTCACATAAGGCATTATCAATTAGCATCTTGTTAATGGCACAAGGAATAGAGAAGTTTTTGGGATCTTTCAACTTGGGTGGTATCTTGTTCATTATAATTGCACTACAATTCTTGGTCAAGTTGACCGTCTCCACAACATCACAAGTTCTTTTCCCATTCAAAATGCCTTTGAGGAACTTTGCATAGTTGGGCATTTGGATTACAACTTCGGTACATGGTAGAGATAGGTGAAGTTTCTTCAGCATGTCAATAAACCTTCCAAATTGTTCATCCAACATATGTCTCATGAATCTTTGTGGATAAGGAAGCTTGGGTTTCACAATTTCTTTCTCTACTCTCACCTCACTAGGTGTCTTGATCACAACCTCACTCAAAGATGAACCATCTCTCTCATCCTCTACCAAAACCTTCTTAGGGACTTCCTTAGTTTCATTATTCCTAGTCAAACTCTGCTCAAGAACCTTACCACTCCTTGTAACAATAGCATTCACGAGTCTCTTGGGATATATGCCTTGGGAAGGTAAAGAAGAAGGACTAGCATGGTCTTTCAAAGCATTGGCAAGTTGAGAAATTTGGTTTTCAAGCATCTTATTATGAGTCATCATTTCATTGAATTTCTTGTCACTTACGGCCATGTAACTTTTCAACAACTTTGTTTGATTCTCAATTTTTTCCTCCAAATTAGTCCTAAAGGAAGAGGGTTATTAATAGGAACTATCACCTTGAGTCCTTGGAGCAAATTCGGGTGGAGGGCCTCTTTGAGCATTGTTTTGAAGATTGCCCCTACCTTGATTATTCCAATTACCCCTATTTTGATTTTGACCATAACCTTGATTATGGTTACCACTACCTTAATTATGACCCCATAACCTTGGTTTTGATTACCATAATTTTGGTTTTGATTTTGGCTACTATAACCTTGATTGTTATAGTTACCTCGAGAACCTTGGTTCCTATAACCACCACCTTGGTTATAGTTGTCAAAATTATTACCTTGGTTTTGGTAATTCCTATTCCATTGACCCCATTGATTATCAAACCTTTGCACATTATTATTATTAGACATATAGTTCACATGTTCAGTCTCATTGCTATCAAAATCATCATTACTATCCGGAAAAGCATGAGGGCAATTACAAACATCATGATCATATGAACCACACACATCACAAACAAAAAATCACTAGGCATGTTACTAGAAGAAGGAGGGGGATGATGGTTAGAAGATTTACCTCTCCCCTTAAATTGGGAGGGAAGATTTGAAGCTTCGGAAGAAGAAATCTCCAATTTTTCCTTTATCGCAATCATTTCCTTCCCCAAGTTTGTCATTTGTGAGGAGAGATTGTTGATTGCATTTAGATGATCAACCGAGTACACCGAAGAGCTAATCTTGCTAGTTGAATCCCTCTCACCATCTTGCCAATCTCTATAGTACCTCACAATGTCCTCAATGATGTCTACCACTTCCTCTTCCGTCCCATTCATGATGGGACCTCCGGCTCCCCTATCAAGACATGACTTGCCTTGGGGACTTAGGCCTCCATAGAAAATTTGAATAATTTGATAGGTTGGAATTCCGTGGTGAGGACACTCCCTTTGATACTCTTTTTATCTCTCCCATGCTTCATAGAGGCTCTCACTTGACTTTTGCTTGAAACCTTGGATCAAAGCTCTAGCCTCCGCCGTTTTCTTTTGGGGTTAGAACCGGGATAAGAATTCCTTGGTAACTTTGTCCCATGTTCTTAGAGAATTCGGCTTGACCTCCTTGTCTAGCCATTCTATAGCACGTCCTATGAGGGAAAAGAGAAAGAGCTTGAGGCGGATAAATTCTTGGGAAATTCCGTTCACCTTGATAGTATTGCAATATTTTTCGAATTCCTTGAGATAGTTTAGTGGGCTTTCATGCTTGGCCCCACTAAATTTTCGCCTCTCTATCAAAGTGATCATTGCCGGCCTTATTTCAAAATCATTCACTAGTGTTGTAGGTGGACCACTCTCAAAACTATATGCACCGAGAATCCTCAATTCTTTCAACGTCACCCTTGGATTCTCTCCCATTCTTGCTTGTTCTTTTTGTTGTGGTTCTTCTTCACTTGAAGTGTTAGAGCTCATAGATCTTCTAGAAACCCTTAATCTTGTAATAGTCCTCTCAATATCCGGATCAAATGGCACTAGTGAATGACCACGTGATCTATGCATACAAATTCAAAAGAAATGATTAGTAGTAGGCCTACAAGTGTAGCCTAATAGAGAAAAATCTTTTAGTTTTTTTTTAATTAAGAATGAAATAGAATTAACAATTATAACAAAGCACCAATATCATTCCTCGGCAACGGCGCCATTTTGACAAGAGGAAAATGTAGGTGGTTTTCTATCCTTTCCTAGAGCCAAACTAAATTTGTAAACACTCAACCAACCTAATACGAGTATATGGTAAGTCAAGGGTCAAACCCACAGGAATGAGTATGTTCAAGCTATAGCCTATGTCAAGCTACTTTAAAGAAGGTAAATGGTTATGGTTGGTAACTAAGATATCAAGAAACTAGATAAATTGAGAAATTCAGTATGTTAAACACTAGGGATATAGGTTCCACATGCAAGCTCAATAATGATTATGCTAATTGATAGATCGCTCAACTGATTCAAACATTACAAGGGACAAACAATAGTTATAATCAAAGGAACCCAAAAGCTATCTCCTATAAGCCAATCTAGGGTTCACTATGAATGGCTAACAAGGAGAATCATAATCAAAGTCAATCAATTAAAGCAATTCTCAAATCAAGGGTTCATGTTATTGAAATTTGCAATGCAATCTCGATTAATCTTATAGGTTGATGACTCCTAGTCTAATTAATCACATGCACAACTATGTCAACCAATTTAATTGCAACAATTCAATCAATCAATGATCATCAACTAGCAAAAATCATCAATCAAGCATGCTTCCCCTTCTCCCTAGCAACTAATCTACTCACTAATTATGGTAAAATTGAAAGAAAAAACAAATTCAATCACAAACATATTCATTTCAAGTTTAATCAAGAAGGAATTTAATCATTCAACAATTTCTCAAACCTAAACCAAAATTCAAATCAAACATTCAAGTATTAAAGGAAATTGCAATAAAGTAAATTCAAAGGAAATAAATCTCACAAACATTCATTGGTATGAAGAAGAAATCCAAACTTGATTGAAGCAATGTTGTAATACAAATCAAAATCTAAGAATTTCTATCTCTACTTTCTCTCTAAAAACTCTCTAATTCTCTCTCTAAAAACTAAGCAAATGAAAATTATCTAAAAGTTAGCTTTGAAAAGGAATTACAAGAGTATTTATACAAAAAGAAGAAAATCTGATCGGCCGCGCCCTCTCCAAGACTATCCCGCGGGCGCAGAAAAATGGGTATGGAACCCATAACTAACTCAGCGGGCAATCTGGGCAACCCCCGCACCCGCGGATGAAGGCGCGGTAAATGCCCTGCTCCCAAGTGTAATCAGGGGCCAGCGGTCCCTTTAATAGAAGCGGTCTCTCCAAATCATCCGCGCCCGCGGCTAGACTGCGACCAGGGTGCGGAGAGTTCATGCCAAAAATATCCATTTTTTTGCACTTTTACCGCGTACGCGGCCTTCAAGACCTGTGCCCACGGCCTTTTGCAAAGGCTTTGTTCCCTCTTTAAGCCCTCTCCAAGGAGCTTGCTTCTTCTTTGCTTAGTCCTTTTGGCTATTCTTGATCCCTTCGCAAAGCCAACTCCTTAAGCACCTACAAAATAAATAAAAAGAGAAAATAAAAGAAAGAAAAAGCCAAATAAATGGGAAATACGAAGAAAACAACATAAAGGAGAGCAAAACACGAAGAAAGAAGGAAATAGAGAAACTAAAGGAGAAAATACCAAAATAATAAAAGAAATCTATGAAAATAGGGTGAAAACATCCTAAAAGACTACTCTATGAGTTCTATAAATGACACTCATCAAAAGGCAAGGTAATTCTAGTTGTACGAGTTGTACAACATCCATTCCATAGACTAAGGAGAATGACGTATTTCTTGTTGATGAGCAAATTGACGTGCGATAACCCAAAAGGGAAAAATGAAGTTTGTCAGGCCAATCCTTGTAATTTTCTGTCATTTTCTCGATGATGGTATTTAAATTCTTATTGGCTGCCTCTATTGCACCATTTTCTTGAGGCCTGTATGGGGAAGTGTGATGATGTTGAATGTCATACTTTTGTCACTAATCATTTTATGTGGGACTACATATCGACATATAATGTTCCTTTCGATAAAGAGTGCTACATGCTTTGTAGTGAGATTTGTGTATGATGCTGCTTCGACCCACTTCATAAAATAATCGATTGCTACCAGAATGTATTCATGACCTCCTATCCCTGAAGGAGTAATCTTTCCAATGATATTTATTCCTTATGTTGAGAATGGTCATGGTGATGTGTAGGTGTAAAGGAGTGATAGAGGAAGGTGCTGTAAGTTAGAGTATATCATGCATTTAGGGCATCTTTTTACATAGTGATAACGGTCCCTATTAACGGTAGTCCAATAATATCTTTCGCGCATTATCTTTTGGACTAGCATCTTCCCATTCACATGAGTTCCAGATACTTCTTCATGGACTATTTTCATTGCTCTTTGGGCTTTCCTTTTGCCTACACATAAAAGAGCTCGGCCTTTAGGTACCCTTTTGTGTAACTCATTGTCTATAAGTACATATTCGGAAGCCAAAAGTCTTAAGGCTTGTTTTTCTCTCTTGTCAGCGTGGAGTGTATATTCCCCTTTAGTGACATAATTGAGGATGTTTGTATACCAAGGTTCTTTTTCTTCTTCTTCTTCTCCTTCTTGGACTACTTCACCATCTTGTATAGCTTGAATGTAAGCAGGTTTCTTTTCTATTGTTAAAGGCATTTGCTCAATTTCCGTGGGAATTCTAACCATTGAGGCTAGTCTTGCCAAGGCATCGGCAAATTGATTTTTCTCTCTTAGTAGATATGTGTATTTTACCTTTTCTAACTGATTAGTGAGGGTTTCTAGATATGTTTGGTAAGGGGCCAAGATTTCGCTCCTAACTTTCCATCTTTTGGAAATTTGGCTGATGTTTAAAGAAGAATCTCCGAATATTCAAAGTTTCTTTACTCCCGGTGCCAAAGCTATTTCGAGGCCTACCACGCATGCTTCATATTCTGCTGCGTTGTTGGTAACGTTAAAATCTAACTTTATGGAGATTGGGACATGTTCCTCTTTAGGTGATACTAATAATACTCCTACACCACAACCTTTTTGGTTTAATGCTCCATCGAAGTATAACGTCCAAGTATCATCTTCTGTAAGCATTAAGTCTTCGTCTGGAAACTCATTTTCATGTATGAGCGTCGAATCTTTTATTCGAAAATCCGCTAAGAAGTCCGAGACCACTGATCCTTTGATAGCTTTTTGGGGCATAAACCTTACACCTAATTGGGCTAAGTTGATTATCCATCTTGATATTCGCCCATTAAGTGTAGATTTCTCGAAGAGATACTTTTAGTGGATCCATCAGAGATACCACATAGATTGTATGAATGAGCATGTAGTGTCTTAACTTTGTTGTGGCCCACATTGGTGCGAGACACAATTTCTCAAGTGGTGTGTAGCGTACTTTGTACTCGAGCATATTTTTACTAAAGTAGTAGATGGAATTTTCTTTCCATTCTACTTCTTATGTGAGCATTGCCCCCATTGTCTCTTTGGTGACTGTTAAATACAACCTAAGAGAAATTCCTGGGAGCGCAAGTGCCAATACAGGAGGATTTGCGAGATAGGCTTTGATCTTCTCAAAGGATTTTTGACACTCATTGTCCCATAATACTGGCATATTCGTTTTTACTTTCTTGAATATTGGTTCACATATTGTGGTTAATTTGGATATGAACCTACTTATGTATTGCAACCGGCCAATGAATCCTCAAATCTGCTTCTCGGTCTTGGGCAGCGGCATTGACATGATTGCTTTAATCTTGGTTGGGTCTATCTCTATTCCTCTAGAGCTAATGACATATCCCAAGAGTTTTCCTGAGGTGACTCCAAAGGCACACTTAGATGGATTAAACCTCATGTTGTATTTTCTCAGCTTTTTGAAGAACTTTCTTAAGGCTACTAGATGTCCTGGACAATCTTTTGATTTTACAATCATATCATCCACGTAGATTTCAACTTCTTTGTGCATCATGTCATGTAGTAAGGCAGTCGTTGTTGTTTGCTAAGTGCACCCGCGTTTTTGAAACCGAATGGCATTATCGTGTAATAGTAAGTGCCCTGTGGCGTTATGAATGTATTCTTTTCCATATCTTCCTCGGCCATGAGAATCTGGTTGTATCTCGTGTATCCGTCCATTAATGAGAGAAGCGCCGTGATTTGCTGTGTTATCTACCAAAATGTCGATGTGTGGTAAAGGGAAGTCGCCCTTTGGTCTTGCCTTATTTAGATCTCTATAGTCG